CCATCACTCATGGGGTGGATGGTGTGGAGCCCATGGAGGTGGATCCACTCAAAGACCAAGAAGAGTCAATGGAAGTGGATCCACCTCCGGCATGGCTCCCCTGGCACCACCACACCGAGCCAGGGCTCCTCTCCATGACACCACACCGACACCAGCACCCGGCCAGCCCCTTACCACTGCTGCAGCCTCTGTGCCTGGCGGTAGCTGGGAGGCCCAGCCATCCTGGGGGCTCACCCATTCCACTGCCCGGCAATCAGCAATCCCTCAGAGGGACGCCGAGGTCCCTGGCGCCTGGAGCTGGGGATCCTTCAGTCCGAGGACAAGGGTGGTTGAAGAAGCCGGACCCCCCACGGTGGTGCACAAAGAGCAGCCACAGACCAAGCAAAGAAGTCAGAGGGACAGCTGTTCCTCTGGAGAAGCAGACGACCGCAGGTCTGCCAGGAAGAAGTGCTCGCCTTCAGCATTAAGGTCCCTTCTAGCTGCTTCATTTCAAGATCTTTTCAAGATTGTTTATTGCCTGATTTTAAAAGGCCCAATAAAACAAGAAAAAGAACAGTAAAGATGCTTTTCTCTTCTCTTATTTGGCACTGGGGCGACTGCACCCCGCTGCTCTCCCCAGCCCAGGCAAGACGACACTGGTGTGGGCCCAGCCCGGGGCCGCGGAGGTGGCGAGGGGCGGGGGCAGGTTGGGGACGAGGGCAGGCTGAGGGACCTGCCGCTGGTCACGAGGGCGGTGAGACTGGGAGCAGGTTGCCCAGAGAAGCTGCGGATGCCCCATGTCCCCGCAAGAGTTCAAGGCCAGGTTGGATGGGGCTTTGAGCAGCCTGGTCTGGTAAAAGGTCGGAACGAGGTGATCTTTAAAGGTCCCTTCCAACCCAAACCGTCCTATGATATTCCTTGAGGTCTGTTAGCAAAGAATCCTTCCGTTTGTATAACCAGCGCTGACAAGAGCCTCCCAGCAGGGCCCTCCATTTTCAAACGCCATCCTCGGTACAATTCTGAACAGAAGGCAAACACTTAAGTTCCTTTCTCTTTATCATTTTGTAAGGAAGTAGTAGCATACGAGTTGTGCCCTCACAGGAATCCTGCACCCCACAAATACTGATTTCCTCCAGATCCGTTAACCTTAACACGCTGCTAGGCAAAGCAGCTGCAATGGGCAAGCCTTTTACTGCAGAAGTTGAAAGAAGAATAAATGCAGACAGACTCAGAATATTATAAATGTTGACTGAAATCAAAAAAGCTGTAAAACTATAAAAAGCATTATTCATTATGGCCGAC